ACGCATTTTCTATACCGAAACGTTTCCAGTTAATGTAGTCTCCATGTATAATTAGAAAATTATGGGGGCCCCATGTGCATTCAGCTGACTACATTAAAGGTTAAGTGCTCAGTCACACTGTATCCATTCCTTATTATTTATTACTTTCACTGTACTGTATCCATTCATCATTATTCATTACTTTTACTGTACTGTATTTCATTGTAGATTTTTTATTAAAAAAAAAAATAATAATAATTTTTCTATGTCGACTTACGACCTGGATTTGGGTCCCTAACCCCGTCGTAAGTCGGGGTCTAGGTGTGTGTGTGTGTATATATATATATATATATATATATATATATATATATATATATATATATATATATATATATATATATATATATATATATATATATATATATACAGTTATACCCACTGCCTTGATCAATTGAACCCAGAGGGTCCCGCGTTAAGTGAATAACAAAAATATGAGATTAATTCCAATAGAACCCAGCCCGACCCCAAACTCCACTTTTGACGACAAATAACTATGTTGTAGTAAAAATAACATCTTAATTTTATGATGGTACATGCACACAATTAATACTTAAGAGAAATAGAAAATACAGTCGCCAAGTTAATGTCCATTCAAATAATGGACTAACTCCCTCCCCTCTTCTCACACTACACTCTGGCTGTTCCCTCTGAAATTTTGGAAAACCAGGTATAGTAATAAATAATTCCTCAAACTAAAGTTAGGATAATATAATTGACATTGCTGGATTCCTTGTAAGACCAGGAATATTTTGAATATAAATGTCATATTTTTCACAAAAAGATAACATATTTACTCAGAATAAACTTTACATCTAAAATTTGTATGTCTAATGCAAAATCTATGATGTTTATATTCAAAATGATCAGCAAAATGTAAGAATTCAGCAATGTAAATTATATTCTGGCGGATAATTTGTATGAATTTTATGAGCTAAAACAAATATCTTCAGTTAATAAAAAAAAAAATATTCTTCGACACTATCTGTCAATCAAAAGTACCCCACCTTGCCTTCCCCCTCTTCCAACCCGTGGTCAGTCCCAACCCTCCCCACCCCCACCAATCCTCCATTCAAGAGTTTTTAACATTTAGTATTAAATAATACCTCAGATTAAAGTTAGGATAATATAATTGACATTGCTGGATTCCTTGTAAGACCAGGAATATTTTGAATATTGTCATATATTTTGGACAAAAGATAACATAATTACCTAGAGAACAATTTTATCTAAAAATTGTATGTTTATCTAAAATATATGTTGTTTATATTCAAAATGATCACCAAATTATAAAATTCCAGCAATGTAAATTATATTCTGCCCGCTTATTTGTATGAATTTATGAGCTAAAACAAATATCTTCAGTTAATAAAAAAAAAAATAATTCTTCCAGGGGTAACAGATGGTCGGTCGGTCCCTCTCCCCCCCCCCACCAACCGTCCCAAGGAGATGTGTGGGATAACCACTAAATTTTAATAAATAATACCTCAAACTAAAGTTAGGATAATATAATTGACATTGCTGGATTCTTGTAAGACCAGGAATATTTTGAATATAAATGTCATATATTTTGGACAAAAGATAACATAATTACCTAGAGAACAATTTTTATCTAAAAATTGTATGTTTAATGCAAAATATATGTTGTTTATATTCAAAATGATCCTAAATATAAAATTCCAGCAATGTAAATTATATTCACAATGGGTAATTTGTATGAATTTTATGAGCTAAAACAGGCAGTCAGGCAGGGTGGCGGGTGGGGGTGGTCGAATCTAAAATAGCTCGAGCCGGACACTCACGTATATGATGAAAAATGCGTTAAGTGAAAGTTCAGCTTTGGCAAGGCACCGCGTATATGCAGCAGCGTTAAGTGAAAACGCGTTAAGGGAGTAATACTGTAATATATATATATATATATATATATATATATATATATATATATATATATATATATATATATATATATATATTATTATATATGTATGTATGTATGTATGTATGTATGTATGTATGTATGTATTTTGTATGTATATATATATATATATATATATATATATATATATATATATATATATATATATATATATATATATATATATATATATATATATATATATATATATATATATATATATATATATATATATATATATATATATATATATATATATATATATATATATATATATATATATATATATGCAAGTAAATCACTGTAGGTCGCTGGCGTGATCTGGGTAAATCTTGATAACCACAAGGAAAGAAAACACGAAGTTCCCAAGCGCTTTTGTGTAATTCACATCTTCAGGGGTGAGTACAGACTAGTCTGTACTCACCCTGAGCCTATAAATATATATATATATATATATATATATATATATATATATATATATATATATATATATATATATATATATATATATATACACAGTTGTACCCCACTTAACGCGGTCAATTGAACCCAGAGGGTCCCGCGTTAAGTGAAATCCGCCTTAAGTGAACAACAGAACATATGGGATTAATTCCAATAGAAACCGGCCCGACCCCCAAACTCCACTTTTTGAAGGCACATACCTATGTTGTAGTAAAAATAACATCTTAATTTTATGATGGTACATGCACACAATTAATACTTAAGAGAAATAGAGAAATACAGTCGCCAAGTTAATGTCCATTCAAATAATGGACTCAACTCCCTCCCCCTCTCACACTACACAGCCGGCTAACAGATGGTCGGTCGGTCCCTCCCTCCCCCCCCCCACCCCCCACCAACCGTCCCAAGGAGATGTGTGGGATAACCTCAAACTAAAGTTAGGAAAATATAATTGACATTGCTGGATTCCTTGTAAGACCAGGAATATTTTGAATATAAATGTTATATATTTTGGACAAAAGATAACATAGTTACCAAGAGAAAAAATTTTATCTAAAAATTGTAAGTTTAAAGCAAAATATATGATGTTTATATTCAAAATGATCACCAAATTATAAGAATTCCAGCAATGTAAATTATATTCTGACCGGGTAATTTGTATGAATTTTATGAGCTAAAACAAATATCTTCAGTTAATAAAAAAAAAATAATTCTTCACGGGGTAACAGATGGTCGGTCGGTCCCTCCCTCCCCCCACCAACCGTCCCAAGGAGATGTGTGGGATAACCACTAAATTTTAATAAATAATACCTCAAACTAAAGTTAGGATAATATAATTGACATTGCTGGATTCCTTGTAAGACCAGGAATATTTTGAATATAAATGTCATATTTTGCACAAAAGATACCATAGTTACCTAGAGAAAAATTTTTATCTAAAAATTGTAAGTTTAAAGCAAAATATATGATGTTTATATTCAAAATGATCACCAAATTATAAGAATTCCAGCAATGTTAATTATATTCTGGCCTGGTAATTTGTATGAATTTTATGAGCTAAAACAGGCAGTCAGGCAGGGTGGCGGGTGGGGCAAATCTAAAAATAGCGTCTCGGACACTCACCGCGTATATGTGGAAAAAATCCGCGTTAAGTGAAAGTTCAGCTTTGGCAAGGCACCGCGTATATGCGAAAAAGCGTTAAGTGAAACCGGGTTAGGCGGGGTAAAACTGTATATATATATATATATATATATATATAAATACAGTTAATACCCCTTGTGGTCAATTAAACAGAAGGGTCCCGTGTTAAGTGAAATCCGCGTTAAGTGAACAACAGAACATATGGGATTAATTCCAATAGAAACCGGCCCGACCCCCAAACTCCACTTTTTGAAGGCACATACCTATGTTGTAGTAAAAATAACATCTTAATTTTATGATGGTACATGCACACAATTAATACTTAAGAGAAATAGAGAAATACAGTCGCCAAGTTAATGTCCATTCAAATAATGGACTCAACTCCCTCCCCCTCTCACACTACACAGCCGGCTAACAGATGGTCGGTCGGTCCCTCCCTCCCCCCCCCACCCCCCACCAACCGTCCCAAGGAGATGTGTGGGATAACCTCAAACTAAAGTTAGGAAAATATAATTGACATTGCTGGATTCCTTGTAAGACCAGGAATATTTTGAATATAAATGTCATATATTTTGCACAAAAGATAACATAGTTACCTAGAGAAAAATTTTATCTAAAAATTGTAAGTTTAAAGCAAAATATATGATGTTTATATTCAAAATGATCACCAAATTATAAGAATTCCAGCAATGTAAATTATATTCTGGCCTGGTAATTTGTATGAATTTTATGAGCTAAAACAGGCAGTCAGGCAGGGTGGCGGGTGGGGCAAATCTAAAAATAGCGTCTCGGACACTCACCGCATATATGTGGAAAAAATCCGCGTTAAGTGAAAGTTCAGCTTTGGCAAGGCACCGCGTATATGCGAAAACGCGTTAAGTGAAACCGCGTTAGGCGGGGTAAAACTGTATATATAATATATACATAGAATATATATATATATATATATATATATATATATATATATATATATATATATATATATATATATATATATATATATATATATATATATATATATATATATATATATATATATATATATATATATATATATATATATATATATATATATATATATATATATATATATATATTTATTGGGATTTTATTATTGTTTATATGGAGATCAATCTTATTTTATTTTTTATTCTTTTTTTTCATAAATATTAATAAAATAATGGTGTAAATTGAATCGGGTCCTAAATTAACCAGGGTTTTAAATATGAATCATCGTAAGTAGAAGTGTCGTTATTTGAAGCTTTCCTGTAATTAATATGGTAAAGCAACATATGATAGTATTTGGAGAGCACTAAAATGTGCAGTAGCTCAATGCAAGAAAAACAAATCTTATCAATTAAGAGGAAGTACATCCATTATATTATTTACAGCTGTTAACACCATAACAATGTATAAGATAGGAGTGGAGAAGGTGGATGGAGATTACCTGAGACTGTCGATCATGTGGATGATATACTGGATATGGATAAAGATGCTCATAATGCTCTGGTGCAAAAAGTATGCATCTCTTGTAGCCAATCAACTGGCAGAAGAAGTTTTGCTGTTCATCATAATGTACAGGAGTCACATTACCTAAAATTGAAGAAGAAAAAAAATCTCAGTATTTCTTTCTGGTGTTTACCTCATTATATTTGAATTGTAAAATAAGTGGAGATTGAAGAACGTATTTTACATCCCATTCTACAGTCAAAGAGAATAGATGAATGACCTGTAAGATACCTCATTTACAAAAACTTTGTTAATGATTGCTGTGGTCATTTACCATCATCAATTATATATTGTATATACACAATAAATAAAATTAAATTAAATTTACCTTTACCTCTCCCTTACCCTTACGAACCTAAACCTTTCTCCTTCTTTTCCAGATACTTAGCTTAAATCTTTTACAGGAAGGAGATTTGAATCCTATTTATCTTAAACACAACGAGGCACACTGCCAATGCTGGATTTGCTTGCTTACACAGACGCCAAACTACTGAGCCTGCGCAGGCGTGCGCGCACACACACACACACACACACACACACACACACACACACACACACACACACACACACACACACACACACACACACACACACACACACACACACACACACACACACACACACACACACACACACACACACACACACACACACACACACACACACACACACACACACACACACACACACACACACACACACACACACACACACACATGTAGGCCTGTTACTTGTAAGGCAGGTGGAGGAGTGAGACTTGTCAGTATACTGTCTCACTTAAAAGTAATTTGTTTAGTTATTTAGAGTTCCGTTGATATCAGAAAGATGCCTGAGACTGTCGATAATTATGGTCCATTGGGACATCCACTTACACAAAAGGGGTGTTAATCAGACAAGAGACTGGTGTATGTACAGTGTGATATTTACAAGTCGAAATACTGTACAGTTAATTAGACTCGCCCTGTGATCTATTACTGAAAATTTCTCGGTGTGAGTCGCACTAGTACTGAGGCAGGCTCTTGTGTGAAGCGAGCTCGTAATAAGGTAGTTCAGGTGTAGATCTTTACTCTAAGGGGTCAAGCTCAAGACTACCAAGGGGCTTGGCTAAGCCATCATCAGAGAGTAATTCCTGCATTCGCCACCAGAGTGATCTAGGAGTCAAGCTTCTAGAAGGTTCTCAAAGGAGGAAGTATTCACCTCCGTGGAATGTCAAGCAGAACTACAGTCAGCGGTCTTTACATAATGTGTATAAACAACCGGCTGATAAATGATCCTTTGACCCATGAATCACTCTTAACTGGCGGTGCCAATATCTATATATTTTAATAACATACTTACTGCAAGTGTGAAACAAAGTAACTAGTGTTTAAAGAAAATACAGTACACACTGAAAGTTGCATCATACTGGCGACAAAACATCCGCTGGTAGCATACAGCTATAACCTATGAACAAACTTTACCATCTACAGGTCATTGAATAGTGAATGTTCATAATTATACATCCATGGTTGTAAGTTACTCTAAATTATACAGTATGTACATTATACTGGTTACGTGAGTGTGTGTGTGTGGTGTGTGTGTGTGTGTGTAACACCAATATAATTTACATACTGAATAATTTAGAGAAAGTATTTATTAACTTACAACCATAATTATGAACATTCAACATTCAATGACCTGTCGAGGGTAAAGGTTGTTCATATGTTATAGCTGTATTAAACACCCCGTGGATGTTTTGTCCAATCCAAGTGTCACCATATGATGCAACTCTCTCTCTCTCTCAGTAGTAGGTACTGTATTTCTTTAAACACTAAATAGATTGCTCATTTACTTTGTTTCACACTTGCAATGCGTCAAGTATGCTAGATAGTTAGTTAAGTAATACCGTATTTTGCGGCATATAGGACGCGTTTTTTTTTTTATTTTACCCTCAACATCACCCTGCGTCCAATATGGTGAAGGTCAGGATTGGGGTCGAGCTTGGGGTCTAGGTATCCCCCTCGTTTAAGAATCCAAACAACTTCAGAATGAATATACAGCAACTCCTCGACTTACGACATATTCGACCTACGACCACCAGCACAAACAATCTGCCTCAGTCGGTACAACCACCCGCACATACGACCGCGGCAGTCGGTACCAAAAATTTTTCAAATGACGCCCGAATTTTCTAGACCGAAACGTTTCCGTCCCGTACGAGACCGTCGCGTGGGCTGGGTCACCTCGTGGCTACAGCACCCACGCCGTAGAGCACTTAGTTAGTATTTGGTTGTCGTTGTATCCGCAACTGATCACGCTGTGTACTGACATTATTTTCATATCTAATTCACTTTAGAATTACTGGAAAGCGTAGAAGTGAGAGTGCTGGTGGTGCTCAGAAGACAATAATGCAGTATGAAAATGGAAAAACTGTAGTAACCATTTCACGCGAACTAGGCTTCTCGCACTCGACCATCTTGACTATTTTGAAGGATAAGGAACGTATTCGTGAGGTAGTGAAAGGATCAGCACCTATAAAGGGAACTATAATAATGAAGAAAAGACAAGGTCCTATTCATGAGATGGAAAAATTACTTGTGATATGGATGGAAGACCAGATACAAAAGCGTGTACTCTTAAGCCTTCTAACCCTACAGGCTAAGGCAAGGAGCCTTTTTGAAAGCCTGAAGGAGCAGGCAGGAGATGAGTGCTACCAAACCATCACAGCAAGTCATGGGTGGTTCCAAAGGTTTAAGAACCGCTACAGTTTGCACAGTGTAAAGGTGAGTCGAGAGGCAGCAAGTGCTGATGTGGGTGCTGCCGAAGCTTTTAAGGAGGAGCCAGATCGTGTCATTGTGGAGGGAAATTATTTGCCTGAGCAAATATTTAATGTGGTTGAAACTGGCTTATTATGGAAGCGCATGCCAGAATGGACATACATCCACAAAGAGGCGAAAACAATACCAGGATTCAAGGCATTCAAGGACCGAATTACACTTCTGTTGGGGGAGAATGTAGCTGGTTTCAAGATAAAGCACCTTCATGATCTATCATTCAGAGTACCCAAGGGCTTTTAAACATGTCAGCAAGCACACACTGCCAGTGATTTATCACTGTAACAAGAAAGCCTGGATGACCCTAGTACTGTTTGAGGATTGGTTCATGACTTATTTCATTCCTCGAGCCAAGGAGTATTGTCTGCAACAGGGATTGCATTCAAGATTTTGTTAATTTTGGATAATGCTCTGGGACACCTACCACAACTGGACGACCTGCACCCTGATGTTAAGGTAGTCTACTTTCCACCTAACACTACCTCTATCATCCAACCCATGGATCAAGGTGCTATTGCTGCTTTTAAAGTGAATTATTTACGTACGACCTTCGCTTAGGCTGTCGCTGCTACTGAAGGTGAGAAAACGCTCAGAGAGTTTTGGAAAAACTACAACATTTTGAAGTGTATAGAGAACATTAGTGCAGCATGGGATGAGGTTACAGGTCAGTGCATGAATGGAATATGGAAGAAAATCCTGTAAGATATGTGAACAGTTTCAGAGGATTTAATGAAGATGAAGTAATTTCTGAGATTAGTAACAAGATAGTGGAGTTGGTAAACAGCTTGAGTTAGAAATTGATAATGAAGATGTTGAGCAATTGGTTGAAAGTGTAGCAGAAGAGCTCAGTAACGAGGATCTTATTGAACTGGAAGCACAGAAAATTGCAGAGGATGAAGAGATACAAAATGTAGAAGAAGAACCTGCACCTTCCAAAAAATTTTCAGGGAAACAAATGGCAGAGGCATTTGCTACAATTAATAAGGGGATGCAAATGTTTGACGGAATGGATAAAAAAGTTGAGCGTTTTGCCAAAGTTGACAGAATGGTCCAAGATGCACTTGCTTGCTACAGGGAGATTTATAATGAAAAGAAAAAGCAAGTTCCCCCTGTATATTAACCTGTCTGAAGAAAACGATATTCATGACCAACCCAGCACTGTCTCCTCCTCTGCTTCATCCAGTTAATGTAGTCTCCATGTATAATAAGAAAATTATGGGGGCCCCGTGTGCATTCAGCTGACTACATTAGAGGTAAGTGCATTCTTCATTATTGAATACCTTTACTGTACTGTATTTCATTTTAGATTTTCTATCTATTATATTTTTGCAATTTCGACTTACGACCTGGATTTGGGTCCATAACTCCGTCGTAAGTCGCGGAGCAGCTGTATATGGTTTATTACAAGAACAATTCCATTTAACAAAGAGAACAATTAAAACAATAATAAATAAACAAGGAATATTCAGTAAATGACTGCGATAATTCTTGAAACTACCGACAGTGGTCAGGCAAACCACTCGTTGTTATAGATGTTTACAGCTTTCCCACCAATAACCAGTGTTATATTTCCTATATAAATGAGTAACTGTCTTATAAAATAAAATAAACCTTCGTTGAGGCATGAAATGCTTCAATTACCAGCTGTAGTATCTTATATGATTTAATGGGAGAATGAGAAGCCACATGCTGAGTCTTACTCCGGACGTTTATTGTTGTTGTTGTTGTGTACAACGTGCCTAACACATTCGTGATTACACAGGCCTAAACACATTCTAACTTTGGTAAGAAGTAACATAATATATAATGTATACAGTCAACCCTCGTTAATTCGGACTAATAAGGGGGGGGGGGTGTCCGTTTTAGCCGATTGTCCGAATTAACCGATTTAGGTTAGGTTAGGAAATATAGTACCGTATATACACTGTACGCTGAACATGATACACAGTAACATAAATACAGGAAATACTGTACTGTAAACATCATATAACTAGTTATATAAAACATTACAATATGTTAATTTCATTTACCTTTGGTAGATGACTCTTAATTAAGTCATTTAGCCTCTCCCTGAATGGTTCAATGTCCTCAGTGGGTGCGCTACCAGCTTCACCATGCGTAATTTTATTACACATTCCATGGCGATTTCTAAATCGCCATAACCACCCATCACTAGCTTCGAAATTCTCAATGCCCATATGACTTGCTAGCTTAACAGCAGCAGCTTGTATTTCTACACCACGGACGACATTACCACAGGATTGTTGCTGC